AAATTTATGTATAAATTAAGGCTCGCGGAAATGATCTATTGCGAATCACTAGACAGCGCTGACAAGAGATAAACGGGCGGAACACGCCTATTTGTCGCTAAACTCTTTTTTTCAAGTTGCCAGAGTCTATGCTCGTAAATTCTTGTTCGATCTTCCTCTTACGCCGGACAGCAAACAAATCACGATATCGATGCAACATGTAGTTCGCAGCTATAAAATTGTCCGCGAAAAAGAATCGTGTCTGTTCCAAAACTGTTGTTGTTTTGTATAAGTACTTGCACTTACTATAACATCAGAGAAGTGGAAATCTGCATTAAAATGTGTAGTTTAATTTTATATCTATTGTATAATAAATGTGCAAGGAACAATAGTAAATTGGAGATAAATTAATTATTTAATCCTATATAAATGCATATTCTGTTAAATGAAAACGGTGACATACATTTATAATAAGGAAATTATTTTAATTTTCTTATAAGATAGTCAATTTCAGTTTCCAAGTACTTCATTATGTATATAAAATATTTTCAACTTATCTATTCGTTTTAATATATAATAAAGGTAAATATTTTAATTTTTTCAATAAATGTATCAAATTTTAATTCGTTTACGGTTTTGTTCTGTTTTCTCCACCTTATGCAACAATTTTCTAGCCAACGTTCAAACTGTGTTCAAGTGCACTAATTCTCGTCTTGTAAACTTTCGTAAGTAGGTTCCTTCTGCTGTTTTCTTACAAAAAATAATTATTTCATTATATTAGATTGCTGTAAATGTACAGAAATATATTAATAAGATTATATACAAATTAGATCAAACATACCAGTACATTAAGTTCTAGACACTTTACAGCTGCTACAATATATATTAGAATAGTTGTTAAGTACTTTTATATGTACCAGATAAAAGTTACAACATCAAAGATAAGAACTGAAATATAAGCGTGAAAAGTACCCATCACGAGATTTTCAATAAGTAAAAATTCTATGGTGTATGTAATACAAGTTAATTATGAATCACATCAACTTTATTTCTAAGAATATACTGCTGATAAACGAGAATAAAGATTAAATCTACCGGAATGAATGGTTCGGAGGGTATTAGCTGAGCATAGAGGTTTCCAAAAATTTTGCGAACATTAAATTGCGTATTTCAACACTGCAACGTACTATTCATTGTCAATACCTAGCGTGGTTCGTGCAACTGCAAATTCAGAATGAGAGAAAAATGGTTTATACTGCCATATCAAATTGGAACATCCTTTACACTCTAGTTGTCGGATGGAACCGAGTGTTTTCCTCGTTGTCAGAATTTAAACTAACAGCTTCATCAGGTTGCACGGGCAGACTTAAAAATGGCAAAGAAATGTCTGTAGCTGACATCAAAACAGTCGATTTGCGGTATCGATATCGCTAACACGATTGGATAAAAGGTGAAGCGCAAAAATGCAAGACCATGTTGACCTGGCTGTTCGTTACGATGGTAACTATAAATATACGCGCAACGACAAACCGCGAAGCTGTTTGCATTATTTGATCGAGTTTCCTCTTCTTTTGTATTTTTCTTTCTTCCGTTCCTGTACACATATATCTTTTGTATTGCTTATGCTTTTCGGCGGAAGCCCGTTTTCCGTTAAAAGAGAGAATTTAAATGCGAACACGCACCTTGAATAAACACAGACACAATATTCACGCGACTGTTAAATTCAAACCATTTATTGAAACAACTGTACTCCGATTAAGCATACAGTTCCCTTAAAATGGTTATCCTTGTTTGTTTGCGTAACATTCGTAACACATTTATTATTCTATTGTAAGATTTTTAACGAATTGTTCGGCTTTAATGAAGATATTTACGAAGGCGACGAACGCCTGTGAAATCATTTAAATTTTAAATGTGAGTTCTTGTTGGTTTTGCGTTTAAACGAATCAAATATTTAACGATTGAATTGTAATTCTTTTTATATAGGGTATATTTTCTATGGAAGAAAATCAATGTATTAAAAATTACAGTTACTGTTAGAAAAATTAGTCACCCATCGGTCTTAATATTTTTCACCGTGATCATAGTATTGGAAACCCAAAAGGTAATTTCATAGTGTAGTATCGAGAATATTTATTGTAGGATGAATGGTTTGTTGTGCGTGCGTAAGGGCGACCAGGTCATATTGCGACGGACCGGCGCCGGGATGTTTGGGAAATAGTGTGACTGCGTTTAGACAATTTCGAGTGGCTGAAAGAATGCGAGGAAGAGTGTCTGGAACTGAGCGACTGAACCGTGAGAAAAGCGTGTACGTGACTGCGTGAATTTTGACTATGGACGGAAGATGCGAGTGAGAAGGGTGCAAGGGTGAGAAAGACAGAGCGAATGGGGGTGTGTGATAAAAGCGAGTGGAAATGCGTGCATGGGGACATTTTGGTGAGCGACAGCGGAGTGGGACATTTTGGTGAGCGACAGCGGAGTAGAACATTTTTGGTGCGAGAGTCGTGTGTTGTATTTTACGTGTTGTCCGTATTGTTTCCTTTATCTTATTAAATATATTGTTGTTTTCCTAATTCTCTTTTTACTAAAGATCCACATTTTCAAATATCATATAATAGTAAACCACCACCATATACTATAATAGTAATTTCATTATCGTAGTGTTAAAACCGAGTGTTAAGCGCGGAAATTAAGGATGAGCATAAGTATTGTATAATTTTTTAATTTTTTTGTAAGTTTTAACATTTTTATGATTTCTTTTATAACGAATTGACATAAGAAAGCAAGAAGCATTTATTGATGATTTTCTCAAAGCGGGCATCAATGGGGGTCTCAGATTGTTTATTCAGCATTTTATATATGTTTAATAATAAATATGAATTTAAAGTTTTATTTAAAATTCACGCAAAGTTTGTGTAGTATATTTTGTTCAGGCAAAAAGTTGAGAAGATATATTTAACATTAATTATATTGTACATTTAAATGGTTCTCATTGTCACTTCAGTCATACAAACTTTTATCATAATGACTTACACTAGAATTTAGAATCCACAAATATTAAAACCATTAGTCTCTATAATCTTTATTAAAATACATAAAATTTGATATTATGTAGTAAAATAATTTTATTAACTGAAAATATTTTTATATGGAAATTATTGTCTTATTGATTCGTATACAAGGAATTCTGCTGTATTATTAAAATAATTAATATAAACGAATATTTTACAATTTATTATATTTGTGATCAATTTATTATACACGTGATCATCTATACGGCTAGAATCGTATTTCAAATTTCACGAACATTATTCGAGCGTTTAGTTCACGAAGAATTCATTAGTTCAAAAGAAAGCTATTAATCTGTGTTATAACTTCTCGTTAATGTAGTCTATATAGCTATGTAATTAAAAACTCGTAACCAGGAATACATAAACGCATGAAGTGTATGTTGAGTGAAGACCAGTTGTTTACAGCCCATTATACTCGGAAGTACGACATTTGAAATTCAAGTATGCACCGTTGCATATTGAATAGTAAAACGGGTCGTGAAAAAAGTTATATGTGGACATCATGTTGTAACCTTTTGAACAATTTTTCTTCGATAATTTTATTTTAAGTATGGTTATAAGTACGTAAAGACTTTTGGTTACAAACATATGTCAACTTTATTTGTGTCTTACTAGTATATGTGATACATATGTACGTTTCATTTTTTAATTGAAAAAGTTGCAGTATTCTTGAATTCGTATTTTGAGAGAAATTAAAAATGACCTGCAAAATTCATTGATTAAAGGACGACACGATAAAACGTGATTATATAAAGCAATGTATGTATCAGATTAAAATGAATATGAACGTAATATTAAATGAGAAAAGTAAAACAGATGTGATAAAGCGTGTTGACATCAGGTCCCGCAGGTATTTTTTGCTTGCCTATATCAAAATGTGATAAAGAGACTTTCCAACTAAGCAATTTTAATTAATTAAAACGTACTCTATACGATGGTTTGCTGCGCGTCTTCTTTTTCATTAAATTCAATTATTTAATTTCACAAATAATTTTCTTCCACATTTAACTGTTTCTTTCTTTCGGTGTGTTTTGTACATTTTCAAGTACAATTTACTATTGTTTAAAATAATCTAATCACCTTCACGTTTATTTTATTTTTACATTCACGTCTGCCTTACTTTCTGATCAGGCTTTATTGTATGAAGCAAAGAATGACTACTTTTTTCTTCCATCTGATATTGCTACACACTATGTATTTAATAAGTTAAATGACTTTAATTAAAAGTTTAATAAGTAAAAAAGTTAACAAAATTACTAACATGTGAAATGATTGACTTGTTCAGTGCATTATTCTTTACTGTCTACGATTGTCTACAAATTGTGAACGTTCACACATATATAGTGTTTACGGACTATTGTATAGATTTTACTACGAACGAAGAAATATTGAATCCACTGATTATAAGATTCATTATGTTAAAAAAAGTGTAGATATCTTGCTTCTTTATGTTTTTTGTATTAGATTTACCGGAAAGTTCTGTTTTATAATTGCCATTTTAAGTTTCCAAAGATGTTATTCTACAAAACTGAAATCCACAAATTACCATCACGCTGGAAAGAGGTCATCAGTGACGATGGAAATTATATTGTTCAGTAAACATTAATAAATGTATTAAAAATGTATTGTTTTCTTTTAATTAAAAAACGGAGAGAAAGTTTCGGTAAACTCAATATTTTTCATTTCCATAGTCTCGTGAACACATTATTGAAAATGTTGTGAGAAGCAAGCACTTTATTAAAACGTAATAACTTTTTGTTTATTTTTATTATTTCCGTTTACACATCTCAAAAGAATAAATAATGTCCGCAGTATATCGAAAATTGGAACAAGATATTCCAATTAATACGATTCATTAAATTATTTATAATCTTGTTAGTTGTTCCACGAACTTCCATGGATTTAGAATTAATTGAAATTGTGGCAAATATTATATTATATCATACTTACCACCTTGCGGGAAGAACTGTGAGTAGATACACTTGAAAGTTTCCTCCCTCACAACTCCCGTGGGACATTCTGCCTTGAAGCCACGATATATTCTCTTCAACTCGGCTTCGGTGAATCTTGTAGCTCTACAAAGGCTTGCCAAGGAATCCGGTCTATATCGTGGTGTCTGTTCCTCTTCGTATTCCGAATCTGAGAAGTTCAAATAAATTTTTTTATTAATCGCTGTAGACTACTTTTTCAGATAATTTTAACATGCAGACATATTTGTAAACACAAGTAATTAATCGGTTTATATTAACAATAACCAATCATTATTAATATTAACCAAATAAAATGGTCAAAGTGCTTCACTTATAAGAATTTATCACATACATCGGTAATTATTAATAATTCACAACTATCTTCGGTACATGGGGAGAAAGGAGTGAAAAAATACCATGCGTCATATTTTCTGTAGTATAGATTAGTTATTTTTTCAAGAGAGATATAGTTTTAATAGTTCCATCAATAAAAATTATTTTGTCAAAACTTTTGTCTGTACAAAGATAATAATATATATATCAGGAATAATTTATAACCACGTTAAAAAATATAGTATAAATTTGTTCATAAATAGTAGAAAATAATACAAAAAAATTTTATTAAATATCCTAAGCTACACAAGTAATTATTAATAACTACCGGTAAATATAATTATTACAATTTGTTATTTATATTTACCAAAATACGTGGATATTATTAATAAGAGCCGGTTATTATTAATACAAACAGGATTTATTGTATCAACCGTAACATATACACATTAGTACCACGAAAATGTCAATAAGGCGATAACTGGCCATAAATGTTCAAAGATTTGAACTTAGAAAAAAAACATGGGTATTATTAAACAGAATATTGGTTTTTCCTTTGTGATGCATGAGACTTACTTATGCAGTCGATTCTTGGTCCACCGGTCTCTAAAGGACCAGACCTTAGGTTGCATAAACGAATGACCGGATAATCCAGATACACATGCAAACTACCATTCACAGATTGTACATTACGTTACAAAAACATACACATCTATAGCATGCATACATATACCGTATATGAATACATAGCAAACGGTTACTTAGAAAAAAAATGTGGCGTGAAGTGATGCCATGAACGTTATAGGATCGTTGCAGTGTATCGTACTCGTTTCCAATATGGATACTGAAAATGAGATTCGCGGAAGAATATTTCGACGAAAATATGGTTCGTTGAAACGGAGGTTGGCTATAGTGAGACCGGGCAAAAGCGAGTTTAGTATGTATACATATAAAACCACTGCTATCTGTTGGTCCACGGACTGAATACTAATACACAAGTATACGCGATACTCTATTTGTTTCGACTACCTTAAGTAAGCAAAAATGTGGAATGAAATGTTTTCATTCGAGGCTCGCTTACGAATGAAATTAAGTTTGAACGCATTCTCTCGATATAGAGAATAAGTTTTACTCCATATTTTGAACTTAATTTTGCATTATTTTTTCATCTAGAATAACTTTTTATCGATTGCTTTTGTACTCCCAAGGAAAGGTATCGAACCCGGAAATTCAAAAAATTATGAAATTTTGTATATAAGTAGAGTAAGTCAAGCCTAAAACATTATAATTCTTTTTCGTGCCGAATTTCACTTTCAACGGGCGAAATCATCCCTTGAAAAATGCAAACTTTTCTTTCTGGTGAATTATCTTGAGATTATCTTGTTCTTTCATGTCTATACAATTGTGAAATAAAATTTTTTAAATTGTTCAACTTTTTCAATAGTTTGGAAGTAACATAACTTTTTATATTATATAAAGAAAGAAGAGACAAATTCTAGGCATACTTTGCGTCTGTGTTTGCTCTAAAGTTAATTATTTGTAACAGAAGAACAATATTTGATTTGGGTTCAAAAGAATTCAGTAATATTTATATTTGTTAAATTCTGTTTGAAATCTTCACTACGAGTCGAACAGGTTATTGTAAGGCAATGGGTTAAAGTAAATTTTATGCTATTTTTTATTTATGAAATATCAATATTCTATACATTTAAAAAATCATAATGAAAATTGTCTTGTATTCTTCTTGTATTATTACTAGTAGCGGACTCTGATCTATAGTTTATCATTATACGAAACTGTAATAGCACTCGTCGCCAATATACCAAAGCAACAAGACTGAATGATTGGTTCAACTAATCACAATCGGAAGCGTCATCAATAATCCGTAACATGGTTCCATTAGTAATACGAGCACGCTTTACTTTTAAATGTGTGTACGCATACATTTGATTAATGCAAGTTATTTGCGATATATTTGTTGACAGCGATTTTGTTACATTGGCTGTTTAAATAAACAAAATTTAGTTTACAACTTTCCAATTTAATAACTTAGCTTCGTTATTGTCAATCTTGTAGGCATGCACAATGTATAATCATTAATATATTCTATAATTATTCCTGTAAATGTTTCTAGTTAATTGATTTCCTCTTACTCCTTAGCTGATATTATTTATTATTGTATTAATTGAAAACACTTTATATCCAAATATTTTTTATATTGTATATCTCCCATAGATAGATTTGAATAGTTTAATGTAACAACATATCTATAAATGTATCATTAACCCCTTGTCGTACAATGATGAGTGAGACTCGTGATGAAGATTTCTAAACTAATTTAACAAGTATCAATGTTGTTCATTACCCATGGATCAAAGCAAACAACTATTTTGCTATTATCAATGTATTATCTTCTAATGAAATTTCCACCTAAAGTAGAATGGAAAATTTTGTTGTATTTCTTACAAATTGGCGATAGTAAAATATTACACGAGCTTAGTAACAAAAGTAAATAGTACGCCAAGGGGTTAATACGTATTACATTTTTCAAAACAAAAAAACATGTAACTAACAAATTTTTAATATGCCGACATGTATTCAACAATTACAGAACTTCAAATTAAATATTTAACGGTACCAGGAGTGTAGGTACGATTGTTTTTGAGTAATATTTTTTAACCGCTAGGATTATTACCATACAGGAAAGAAAATGTTTATTAATTTATAAAATATATTAATATAAAGTGCATATCAGAATAGTGAGTAATCTTGGTTTTTAAATAATTTAAGGATCTGAAAATTGACGAATATGCTCCAGTTTTTTTAAAACTCAAATTTAAATAGTAAACGGTAACTATGTTATCTGTATAACGTGTATACTTGTCAATTACAGCAGATTAATACATGATTGGGAAGATGATTTTAGTGAAATGAATATTCTATAAATAAAAGTGCGAATTAAAAATGTTCACATGCAATCGATGAGAAAATAAAATGTTTACTTCTTAACATTTTTTTAACTTTTTTGTATAAAAAAAACTATTCATCTCGATCAATGTCTCCTTCCATACGAAACAACTTTCACGATAACAATTTTTTTTATATCGTTAACGGTTTACGAGATATTCCGTGTTTCTACTCAAACGGAACACCATAAACCTGAACTGTCTAAGCTTTACTCGTGAATAAATTACAGTTCTTCTATTCCACCTTGACTGTCACGGAAACCAAGATACAAAGCATGACCTCGCTTACTGCCTTCTGTGTGCAACGCAAGAATCTGAGTTCTCTGTCTTCTTTTACCGCCCCTATTCTGTGTTAGTAATGGCAAACGGCCGGAGTGCAAAGCGTGTGATTGTTGTCCCGCTTAAATTCTCAGAAATTGTTTTGTGTTTAGAAACAGTTTCGAATTGGAAAACATTCGACAAACCTGAATGAAAGTCTCGGATATTTTTAAAGTAGTAGTGGTTATAATAGTTATATACTAACGGACAAAATTAGTCGTATAATGAGAATATTATGAACCGGTATGTACTTATAATTAAACAGTGGATTTTTGTTCAAAGTCAAGTTAGTAAGAATACAATTAATAACGAATAATTATGATAAAAAAATGTATTTTTACAAATATTATAAAAAATTGTACATTTTAGATATTTCGTATGCTTCTTCGTATCATGTGGATTCTGAATAATTTTGCATTTTGAAATTTTTCATAAATGTATAAAAATCAGTAGTTTAGTTACAATTATAGAGAAACTATATGAATAACTTTTTCCATTAGTTTTATAGAGTATTTAAAATAATATTTAATGGACACATGAAATAACAAGACGATGCATATTTTATAAATATTGATAAGGTAGTTTAACCCCTTGTCCTGTGATACCTTTCATAATTGTGATTGATAAAACTACTTTATTGTTAATCATTCAGTAGAAACAGAAAGGAATTTGCTGCTTATTCTGTGTCTACCTTTATTCCACAGGTTAAAAATTGCTAATAGACAAATAATATTTCATTTCTATGAGAAATAAATAAATACCATTTAGATTTGTCGAATTCGGTTAAAAGTTTTCATCACAAGCCTGACTCAATACTGTAGGAGTAGGGGTTAAAAATATACATTTTTAATTTTACTTTAAACGTGAAATTTAAATAAAAATTTAAATAAATAAATAAAGGTCACTGGCGGTAAGAAATGCTTAGTAGGGAATTTTATATGATTAAATAAATGGGCTGTGTTCTATTGCCAAGACATCACATGCAATGCTCGCACTTAATAGCATATTCGCCGAATTCAATGCCATTTCACCTTTTTCTCTGAGGATAGCTAAAAGAAAACGTTTATCGGTAACGATCCACCATTCCGAAAACAAAGAATCGCATAACTACATGTGCTGCTTTCACGTTAAAAATAAATAAAAGAATATTATTCGTGATTTTTCTTTATAGACAGTATTTGAGCCACTCACCAAACTTAATAGTAAGGCAATTTGTTTTAAATATAACAAGTTTGTATTGACAATAAAATCTTAAAAAATTCGAATACATATTGCATTTATATTATGTCAGAACTTCATTGATTCTTCAGTGTTCGAGATTATAAATTAGCTGTACTTTAATGTATCTTGCCACATGTTATAAAATGCAATAGAAAAATATTTTATTTCTACCAAACAATTCATTAGTAACCTGTAAAAGATTTGAAAAAATGATAACACAAATAAAGTTTCTATTCTTCATTTTTAAATAGTAGTGATTTTTGCATGCTCGATTTTCAAACGTTCGTATCGACGCATATATTTTTCAGAATACCTTACCATGTTTACTTTG